TGCTTTCTTCTAGTAATTTTACAGATTTAGGTCTTACATTTAAGTCTTTAATCAATTTTTAGTTGATTCTTATATAAGAGGTCAGATAAGAGTCCAATTTCATTTTTCTGCATGTGAGTAGCCAGCTTTCACAACACCATTTATTGAAGAGACTGTACTTCCCTCATTATGTTTTCTTGGCAACTTTGTTAAAAATAAATTGACAGCAGATGTGTTGCTTTATTTCTGGGCTATCTGTCCTATGCCATTGTTCATGTGTCTGTTTTGATGCCAGTACCATGCTGTTTTGATTACTGTATCTTTGTAATATGTTTTGAAATCAGATAGTGTGATACTTCCTTCTTTATCCTTTTTGATTAAAATTGCCTTGGCTATTCAGAGTATTTTGTGGTTCCATACACATTTTAGTATTTTTCTGTAAGAAATCTATTTTTTTCTATTCCTGTGAAGAATGACATTGGAATTTTGATAGGGATTACATTGAATATCCAGAGATCACTTTGAATAGTACAGACATTTTAACAATATTAATGTTTCCAATGCATGAACAAGGGCTATCTTTCCATTTATTTATGTCATTTTTAATTTCTTTCATCAGTGTTTTAGAGTTTTCAGTATGCATGTCTTTTACCTCCTTGATTACTCCTAAGTATCTTATTTTTTGTGCTATTGTAAATGAGATTATTTTCTTAATTATTTTTTCAGATAGTTCATTGTCAGTGTATAGAAATACTACTGATTTTTATGTTGATTTTGTAACCTGTAACTTTACTATATTTGTTTATCAGTTCTGTCAGTTTGTTGGTAGAGTTTTTTGGGTTTTGTATATATAAGATCATATCATCAGCAAACAGAGACAATTTCACTACTACCTTTACTATTTGGATGCCTTTTATTTCTTTTTCTTGCCTAATTGCTCTGGCTAGGACTTCTGATACCACGGTGAATAAAAGTGGTGATAGTGGGCGTCATTATTTGTTTCCTGATGTTATAGGAAAAGCCTTCAACTTCACTGTTGAGTATGATGTTAGCCATGAGTTTGTCATAGATGGCTTTTATCGGATGAAGGAACATTCCTTCTATACCTACTTTGTTGAGAGCTTTTATCATGAAAGGATGTTGAATTTTGTCAAATAATTTTTCTGCATCTATTGCTATGATTATATGTTTTTGTCCTTTATTCTGTTAATATGATAAATCACATGTATTGATTTGTATATATTGAACCATTCTTACATCTCAGTGATGAATCCCACTTGATCATGGTAGATAATCCTTTTTTTGAGAGAGAGAGAGAAAGAGAGTGTCTTGATCTGTTATCCAAGCTAAAGTACAGTGGCATCATCATAGCTCACTGTAACCCCAAACTCTTGGGCTCAAGCAATCCTCTTGCCTCAGCCTCCTGAGTAGCTGGGACTATAGGCAGGTGCCACCATGCCCACCTAATTTTTCTATTTTTTTGTAGAGACAGGGTCTTGCTATATTGCCTAGGCTGGTCTTAAACTCCGGCTTCGAGAGATTCCTCCTGCCTCAGCCTCCAAAGTGCTAGGATTACAGGCATGAGCCACCACACCCAGCTGTAAATAATCCTTTTAATGTACTGTTCACAATTGTGTTGAGGATATTTGCGTTTTTGTTTATCAGGGATATTGGCCTGTAGTTTTTTTTTTCTTGTGGTACCTTTCTGGTTTAGGTGTCAGGGTAATGCTGGCCTCGTAAAATGAGTTTAGAAGTATTCCCTCCGCTCCTCTTCTGGTTTTTGGAAGAGTTTGAGAATGATTGGTATTAGTTCTTCTTTAAATGTTTGGTAGGATTCAGCAGTGAAGCCATCAGATCATGGACTTTTCTTTGATGGGAGATTATTTATTACTAATTCAGTCTCCTTACTTGTTATTGATCTGTTCAGATTTTTGATTTCTTAATGATTCAGTCTTGGTAGGTTATGTGTTTATAGGAATTTATCTATTTCTTCTAGGTTATCTGATGTGTTGCCATGAAATCATTCCTAGAAGTCTCTGATATTCTTTGTGCTTTTGTGTTATCAGTTGTAAAGTTTCTTACTTAACTTCTGATCTTATTTGAGTCTCTGCTTTTGTTTCTTAATACAACTAAGGGTTTATCAACTTTGTTTAGTTTTTCAAAAAACAAACTTTACAAAAAAAAACCTAAGAAAATAACTAGGACAAATATGGTATAATGTTAAGATTTATAAAGCTTACTTTCGAGTATTTTTATGTAATTTTTTTATTATGTGCTTGTGTGTAAATATGAGCACATTATGTGCAGGCAAACATGTTAGGACATTTTAGAAACATTCAGGTTATTCTGGGAAGCGGAGATGAAAATAGATCTATTACATGTCATTCTATGCTTTCTTTAGTGTTTGGATTTTTTCAAAAACATGTATGATAAGTTCATTCATTAGAAGATTAAAAGGGACTAATTCAAGCTCAGTAACTTTCTTATTCTATGGATGAGACAAAAGGCTTAAAGCTCTCAAACCTGTGTTTTCTTCTCTGTAAAATACGATTAGCAACATCTACTTCACAGAGCTGCCATGAGGGTTTGATTAGAAATTACTCATATAAAACATCTAGCAGAGTGCTTTTTACATAGCAGGCGCTAAATAAAACTATTAACATTATTAATAAGAACATAGGATATGCTTTATTTGCAAATTTACTCACCTTAAAATGTCCAGAGAAAATAGATGTAGGTTCTTTATTTCTCAATAACCGATCTATTCTTCCGTATGAGCTCCCCGTGGGGGGAAATGGATCTTAGAACCAAGAAGCTTAGTTTGATTTAATACTTTAAACCTACAGTCAGTGTTTAAATCTCCTTTGGTAAGTACGTGCCGTCTCTTTAGGCATCACTGTTCCCTCCCTGGGTGAGGTGTGCTAGATTTAGCAAACAAAAGTACAGGATGCCCAGTTACATCTGAATTTCGGGTGAACCACAAATAATTTTTAGCAGTATGTCCCAAATACTCCATGGGACATATTTATAGGAAGAAAATATTTTTTGTTTATCTGAAATTCACGTGTAACGAGGCAGCCTGCATTTTGTCCGGCAACCCTGCCTGTGAGCGGATGGGGAGGGGCACGGCGTGGGGAGAAGGGCCCCTGGACACCTGGACCTCGGATGTCCACTGTCTGGGTCCAGGCCCTGGGCAGCGGGCAGGCATCCACTCTGATGTCCACAGCTGGCATGACCCCCAGTGTGTGTCTTGGCTTAGCTGGCCCCTGCCGGAGTGCGCTGGCCACGCCTGCCCCCTCACCTCTCGACGGTGAAGGACCCTGAGCTCTTCTGCCACGTCCGCTTGGGCCCCGGACTGGGGCGTCCACCGTGCGGCCTCTGCAGTGGGCCCTGGAGCCCTCACCATCATGGGATCCACAGCGGGTCCCCTGGCTGACAACTCAGCCTCTTGTCGCAAGACCCCTCAGAAGCGCGGGGGACTCTAGACCCCAGCCATCCTTCTGCCCAAATATCATGTGTCCTCCAGCTTCGACGTGGCCGCCCCTGCGCGCTCCCAGTGTGCCAGGCTCCCCAGACGGCAGCAGAACTCAGGCAGCGGCCCTGGCCACATCCACACGCACCTGTCTCCCTCTGACCACCTGCCCCCACTTCCTCTTTCTCCCTCCGTTCTCTGCAGTCCACCCGAGCCAAGGGGGCTTCCTTCCCCTGCCTCCCTGCGCACTCTGTGGTCGCTCGTTCACAATCACAGCACGCAACCGGGCACTGACTCGGTGCAAAACACTGCCCTCCATGCTGAAAACAGCAGCTGCTGAGACAAGTGCCTGACTGTGTGGAGCTCGCATCCTAGCGCAGCAAGCAGATACGGGGCTGGTTCCACGCTGCAAGGTCCTGACACTACAGGACATGGCAGTGAGCTCCACAGAGAAAGAGGGAAGCTGAGTGCACAGTCGTACAGGGGTTGAGTTTGGGCACATGGTCGTGCAGGGCTTTAGGGTTAGGGTTTGTGGTCGTGCAGGGCTTGAGTTTGGGCGTGTGGTCGTGCGGGGTGTTTTTTCAGCCAGGGTGGTTGGAGAAGACGTTCGAGCAGAGACTTAAGTGAAGAGAAAGAGGAGCCGTGGCAGAGTCTGGGGCAGAGCACTTCAGGCAGAGAGAACGCCAGGCCTATTGGGAAGAACTCTCGAGCCTCAGACCCCGCAGGACGGCCAGGCGGTGGGCGGGGTGGGTGCGGAGGACAGCCGCAGGAAGGAGGCTGGGAAAGTCCCCCGGCCAGCTCCTTAATCTGTTTTCAAAAAGAGATAAAAAAAAAAAAAAAATTCAGAAATCCCCTTTTGTTTTCTTTCTGCTCTCTCCTTTTGCTAAAAAACAATTTAAAAAGTCAACCTACAGGGAAAGTTGACTGGGGTCACTTTGTCCTGCATTGTACCCTCCTTCCCGCTTCCAGGGGGGGGGCGGGGGGAGGAGTGCAGCGTTCCCGGAGCTGCGAGCTGGTGACTCAGGAAAACTGAAACAGGGTTGAACGCTTTCAAAATATTCCTGTGACGTGAGTAAGTTTCTACGAAGTGCTAAGAGGCCGGAGGACGGAGTGACATCCTCCCTGGAGGAGCCAGCAAGGATATCTTTTAAAAAGCTGACTTAGCACCAAGGCTTGAGTAATTTAGCAGAGCTCAGTAGAAACACCGTGGAACTGTGTCTGGGCGATAAACACGAGGGTATAAGGACATGAACCAAACGTAATGCTTTGTGGAACGGTGTTTTGTGTCATTGCGGCAGTCTGCAAATAGCCACTGTGAAGCTGAAGCGGGTCCACCGTGACTCCCGCGGTGCAGGGCGGAGAGCACACGCGGCTGCCGCTCCGCCCGGCCTCGGACACCGCTCGCGGGCGGCTCCTCCGGGAGGGCGGCTCTCCGGGCGCCACCAACCTGCGCGCGCCGTAGGAAAGTTAACCTCCTTCTTTTGCTCCCAGCTAAGCTAACGGCCTCGTTTCTCTTTCTTTCCCGGCATTTCTCCTCCCAACAATGCAGGTCCCGGAGTCCCCAGGGTGACGGTGCACAACACGACGGACAAGAAAAGTAAGTGCCTTTTTTCTTCAGTCTTCCTGCGGCGCAAAAGAATATAGCAAAGGTGCTTCGCGGGATAGCCCGGCCCCGTCTTCCTGTTCAGAAACAGGGAGATGAGTCACGCCCGGCAGTTCAGCACGGGCCCTGCTGGTCCCCAACCGACTGAATGCCGTGAAGGTCGAGGCCCTCACGACCCAGCCACACGGGTCCACAAGCCCCTCTACGAATGCTGAGCCTGGAGGGTCATTCCAGAGTCACCCAGGCCATTGTCCAAAATGCTCTGAACGGAGCCCGAGACGGGATGGATGTGCACAGCCGGCCCCTAGGGCTTCTGTGGCCTGGCACGACCCCCACCCCTCTGAGAACCGCCCGCCGGGGCCGAGACCCGATGGCGCTTGGAGGCGCGTCTGTCTCCATGGGTCCAGGGTGTCTTCACGGCGTGGCGGGTCCACGCATCCGTGCGGCCACAGGGTGTTAAAGAAAAAGTATTCTGATGCTTGTTAGATTGGTAGGGAAGACTCTCCAGGACGGTGGCAGGGAGAGACGGGGCTAGCTCCACGCGCACAGCACGGCCAAGCGGGACTCACCGCCGGAGAGCAGTGAGGGGCCGGTGGGGAAAAGGACCAAGAGCAGGCGCGGGGTGGGGGCCGCAGGCCAAAGACAGGGAGGGCCAGGTTGCAGCCCCAGCCGGGAAGCGGGCACCGAGGAACCTGGCCAAAGTCCAGTCAGGGAGAGGGTCTCCGTCAGGGGTGAAGCCCCCGGAGACCCCTGAGGAACTCGCAGCACACGCACGAGTGCAGGTGACCACGTGCACATACGTGTCTGTGCAGAGGGTTTGAGGTGACGTCTGCACTCAGAGGCAGACGCTCAACTCGGCGGAGAAGTAGAGACTTGCCGGGTCCCTCCCAGGCAGCCCCTCCCTTCCTCCCCTGACCCCTCCACCCCTTTCTGCACCCGGGCCGCCTTCCCGGCAGAGCCAACCCTTACGGCCAGCTGCTGGCATTCCTTCAGGTCCACCACGGAGGCGACCTGGCACCTCCAGTGGACATCAAGTGCGAATGGTCCTCTGACTCCTCTCTCGGCGGCGGGGGGGCTGGGGAGGCCGGCAGCGCTGGGAAAGGGTCTCCAAGAGCGTGCTTAGACACGCTTAGAAGGTGGCCAGAGTGTCCAGGGTGGGTGAAATAGAGGCAGCAGGTAGAAAATAATCCCAAATAACGATACTGTTCTGCCAAGCTATTAAATAGCTATTAGCAGTTCAAAACTAAACCACAGGTAATAATAAAATCAGAAATAAATCGCTTAAATGCCAAGGAAAAAAGCAAGCAAGCAAGCTGTGAGGCGGATGACCGAGCGGGCACCAAAACTGCTCAGAACACTCACGTGGCCGCCGGGGCCGGTGCTGAGAAGGGGGGATCCGTGTCCTCTCTGTGGCCCCCCCAGGAGGGGCTGGTTTTCCAGTGGAGGTGACCTGCCCAGACCCCCTCCCCCGCCTCGCCTGGGACCCACCCAGGGGCCTGCCAGGTTTGGGAATCAGGCCTGGTGTCCGATGGCGGGGCTGTCCCTGAGATGTAGGGAGCGACTGCCTGGGTTCCCCTCACCCCATCCGCCCGCACTGGGGTGCACGGGCTGTGCGGGGCCCTCCAGGAGGCCGCGGTGCCTGGGCCGGGACTCCCCACGGCGCGGTGTCAGGGGCCTGGCAGACAGTCGCCAGCGCAGCCCAGCTCCTAGAAATGCTCGTGCCTGGACCACTGGGACCGTGACTTTCACTGAAAAAATGCAAACGTTGCACAGAGCCTCCACTTGGCATCTTTTTTCCTTAAGAAAATGTCTATTATTCATTTTGAGGACTTGTTAAAATTTAAGACTACATAGGTAATTGTCTCATATTTGGGGAGATTTCCCTTCCGAATCGAGGGTCTGGTGGAATTGGTGGGGCCTGTGGTCTAGTTAGCCTCGGTGCAGCCATGTTGGTTTCTCGTCCCGCTGTTGCAAGGTTGTTACAGAAGATGCCATTTGGGGGACCCTAGAGAAGGGGACACGGGACTCTACAATTTTTGCAACTTCCTGGGAATCTATAATTATTTCTAATTTAAAAGTTTTTAAAAACCATCTATGGTCTGATAAAAAAAAACACACACACACACAAAACTATCTCTAAACTTTGAAAAACCATGATACAATGTATGGGTCTTCTTACAAAAATCATTCACTTTAAATACTTTTCCCTGCTTCTTTGGGGGAAGCTAATATCCATCTATTCAAGTCAAAGGCTAATACAGCACCTGCTTTTTGAGAACTCTTTTTGACTCTGAAGCCACTTCCAGGCCTGATGCGGTCCCCCCACTGGGGATCCCGGTGGCCCAGCGTGTGAAAACACTGGGCGGGTCCCTCTGCACCCTGCCGCTGGGCACAGTCCTCCTAGTCTTCCGAGGCTTGCGCGTGAGTGAAGACAAAGCAGACCTGTAGGTCTTAGACATGTGTGATGTTGAGAAAATACTTTATTCCATCATAAAAATAAGGTAACGTGCAGGCGGAGTGAGGTGCAATTCTTCGAGAGAGAGTCCAGACAAGAATCTACGGCACGTCTCCCAGCACGTGCGGGTGCTCTCAGAGCTCTGAGATGTGAGCTCCACCCGGACACGAAGCCACCCCGCCCTCCGCCCTGCCGGGCACACTGGCTGCGCCATCCGGCCAGTCCAGTCTGTGCTGCAGACCAGCGACCCTAGACCTGCCGTGTCCCGTTGCCGAGCTCCGCAAAGGAGGGGGTTTTCTAAGAAGCATTTCTCTGTCCACAGTTGAGCTGTCGCTGTCGTGACTGTGACTCCAGGAGGCAGAGAGAAAGGACCCAGTGGGGAAAGAAGAAAAGCCACTGTGCACATGGGGCGAGGCTGGCATCCCATGCCGGCATTCCCTTCTTCTCCACGTGAAATTTAACAGTGAACCTCAAGGTGACACCATTGTGCTCTGTCTCGGCAAAGCGCCGATTCATTGAAAACTGGACGGCGTTCACGTCACATTGCGACCTGCGGAATTCCCGTCGTCGCCTTTATTTCACAAGCCTGTTTACATAGCGACGTTTGAGCTCCGGCTTTCCCGTAGCCTAATTCAAACTCTGGGGACATTTCATTCCGCCCTCGCCTGTGTCGGCGTTCCCCGCTGTCGGTACAGTCCAAGCTCTTCCAGGGTGTTGACTGAAGCCGTCACTTTAACTTGAAAAGAAGATAAGACGCGGCTGAGTTGGTGCAGCACCCGCGCCCGGGAGGAGAGTGGGGGTGTCGCCTCGCTCAGAGTCCGCGCCATGTTCAGACTCCGGGATCTGAGGGAAGCCCGGCACACGCTCCGGAGCACCCGCATGGCCCCGTGCTCGGTACGGTGCCCACTTTCCGCGTTCGTTCCTGTGGGTTAGCGTGTCATATCTGCACTTAAAAATCCCTTATGTCAGTTGGGGTTACGTTTGGGTAAGTGTGGCAGGAAACTCGAAGTGGCCATTGCTCACGCACGGGGGAAGCGTTTCCCTCCCGGGGGAAGCTCGGGCTGCCGTGCCCCTGGGCGTCCTCGCCCGTCTCGCCAGCCGTCTGTGGCTGTGGCTCTGCACGTGAGGTGCTCCAGGTGCGCGGTGGCTGGCAGCCGGGGTCAAGGCAGGGACAGGAGGGCAGGGCTCCTGTGGCTGGGACAGTCTCTGCAGGCTGTCCTCCCGCCAGTGCCGCCAGCACGCCCGTCCCACCTCATTGTCCATGACTTAGCCCCGCGTCCTGCCCTAGCTGCAGGGATGCTGGGAAATGTCCTGTATCCAGGCTCCATGCCTGACTCAGATGGAGTCAGGATTTTATTCCTAAGTGACAGCCCCCACCAGGATCTCAGGAGCTTGGCGTACGCGCTTCCTGGCCTGCAGCCACAGGTGCCCTGTCCCGGGGCTTAAACTACAGCTCTGGAGTCAGAGTGTGAGGTCGAGGGTGCGCAGGGCTGGTTCCTTCTGAGCTGCGAGGGCGACTCTGTTGCAGGCCTCTCCCCGGCTTCTTGGTTTGCTGCCATCGTTGGCGCTCGGTGGCTTGTCACTGTGTCACCCCGGTGCATGCTCCAGCGGCTTTCTCCGTGTGTGTGTGTGTGTGTGTGTGTGTATGTGTGTGTGTCCAGTTTCCCTAGTGTAAGGACACAGCCATACTGGATTAGGGCCCACCCTAGTGACCTCGTCTTAACCCAATCAGCTGCAAGGACCCTGTTTTCAAATGAGGTCACCGCCACAGGTAGCAGGGGTTACAACCTCAGCATGTTTTAGGGGACACAGTTCCCCCCGCACCACTTGACCCAGAAAGGGTCTCTCCTTCTCTCGCACGAAGCCCAGTTCCTGTGGCCCTGGTTACGCTGTCCTGGCTCCCTCTCCGTGTGGCCCGTCCTCCCCAGGCCCCTGCTTCTGCCGTGGGGACGGGGAGAGAGGAGGCAGGACGTGTGTGGGGTTCCTGGTGCGGGCGCCTGTGGGTGGCCTTTGCATCTCTATCGGCTGGCCCCCACGCCTGGGCCCCGAGACGCGGGAGGAGCCGCAGGACCGGGAAGCACAGGAGAAGGACATCGATGGCACCAGCAGTCACTGCCACAGGACGGAAAAGAGGAGAACGTAGGGTGGCAGCGGCTGGAGAGGGGTGACAGGGGAGAGTTGGTGGCCGTTTCTGCACAGGACACTTGGTCTGAGCCAGCGTGCCAGATGCTCCCCGCTTAGGGTCCCAGGACCCCAGAGGGCAGGTGGGAGCTCAGTGCCGAGAAGTCCGTGGAGAGGAGTGTCCAGCCGCGGAAGGTTCTTCCAACTGGGGCGTGAGGGCGCGAACGCCAAGAGGCGAGGGGTCATAGCACGGGACCAGGGTAAATGGCGAGGAACACGGGCCTGGCTCCTACATTTAAGGAGCTCAGACCTGCTTCAGACAGTAAAAAACAGGACAAAATGGTGCGTCACACGGCACCTCCGCTGTGCAGGTACACGTGTCCTCGCCCCGCTCCATGGGGAAGGAAACGAAGTTCTG